AAGGAATACCGACGTTCCAAAAGTAAAAAATTTGCTATTTTGCTACTTGTAAGCTTAAAATACAATCTGAACATATGCCCTGGATGCATAGCGAATTGGTCACCAGCACAAATACTAATTAGTGCTGAGCAGTTTTAAAACTGTGTAGTGACTTATTAAACTCAGCGACATATCCAGTGATATTGCACAGTGACAAACAGTCGTCCGAAGGAAAGTAGCTGCATAGTATTCAATTGGTTCCAGAAAACTTTGGCAACGAATCACCTCCTCCAACATCAATCTGACACTAAACATAACGGTGAATTACGATGCTTATGGCCGTTTATCGTCTGCTAACTATGTATGGTCAAGCGGCAAGCATCCTGATCTGGTCAGAAAACACGTGGAAAAATTCTCTGAAGTAAGCGGTAAAGATTATTGCGATGAGACTACATTCCCTGATGCGGTAAACATCAGTCGAAGAATATTTTATATTTCATTTTGATGGTTCTGCTACATCTAACGTGAAACAGCTCAGCCAGATTGTTGAATGATAACAGTAAAGGATGTAAGGTAAAAATGGTACTATTCTTCATAGCTATTGCACATACCATCGCCGGTGGACTGGCCCGCTTGGTTGCCAATCTCGACGGTGGGAAGATTATATCATGAAAGCAGCGTTTGGAAGATGAAGGGCTCGAAGCCGTGAGGAGCCGTGGGCGATTCATTGCCGACTACCGATATGTCTAAATGATTACAAATAAACGACTAGAAAGTGTATGCAAGATGAAACAAGGCCCAAGACAATTTAATTCAAAGAACAGAGTAAAATTAGAATAATTCGAAATTATTTAATTCGAAGTTCAGCTATGGTTGGACATTTCTTTAGATCTAAAACAGAAAAAATATATTTCATACAAAGGCACTTCAGAAATTTGCAACTAGAAAAAAGTGTTTTATCTTAAAGGTAAAATTAACAGTAACTATGTAGAAAGAATACTGCATGCTCCTGTTTCGTTCCCACAGAGTGGATCTCATTTATCAACGGTAGAAGAAACAAATAAATATGAAT